AAATAATTATTGATATTATTTCATCGACTTTGAAAATAAAATAGAAATGGATATTTCTGGAACTAATTACATGTAAGACTTTACTAATTATTTTAGATAACAAATAATTATTTACGTAATTCTCCGACTTAAGAAAACTGATATTTTTTTCGTTCTATTGGAAAATGTACATGTACATGTAGGTGGACCTTGAGTTTTGATTGAATTGGATTTCATAATATGCAGAAAGCGATAAGTTTGAAAAACATGGCATGAATTGAATTAAATTATAAGTTATATCAATGTTTCCGTTTGTGAATCTCTAAAATCAACAATTATTTAACTAATCATTTATTTGCAGAAATTATAAAAATAGTTCAAAGTAAGCTCCAGAAAACGAAACCCCTGCATTCATCTCGTGTACATGTACAGTACATTCGCCGACTAAATATTTATGTAAGAGTTGAGAATTGTTTGTTTATTTATTTATTTGTTAAAATATCTATTTTTGATCTATTGATTTTAAAAAAATATCTTGACTATAATTAGCAGTAAACATACATGTAATTAACATCAGAGAAAAAATATTTAAACATCTCAGTACGGTTTATCACAAAAAAATCACGCGATTTGACGAGAACACAATGTTGTACGTCTTACTATATTGCTTATTACCAAGCGATAAATAGTTCGTTCTGCTTTCAATTATGTAAATCGTGTTTCATTCATTTTAATTTGGATTGAAAACAATCAGACATTCGAAATGCTTGTATAACAAATAACATTCCCATAAAAACTTACAAAACGAAATTTACACGTTTCTTAACGCACGATCACGCACGATTTAAACCGCAAACGATTGAGTCTGATACACGCACGATCTCGCACGTTACACGAACGATCACGCACCTTACACGAACGATTCTACACGATTGGTTTGTCAACAATAACGTTGCAGCCACTGTATGTACTTGAATGTGTATCAATTCAATTGAATTTTTAATAAAGTATGAAAAGAATATTTAATTTCCTCTCTCTCTCTCTCTCTCTCTCTCTCTCTCTCTCTCTCTCTCTCGTTTTTTACTTTAAACACTAAATATACATGATGATGCTTCATAAATCTTCGATATATTACATACTATTTTCAAATCGTCTGTATAAAGTCTGTGAAATTATCTTTTCATTACAAAAAAAATATATATTTTTTTGATATCAAATGCTCAATGTTTTGTCGATAACAATACATGTATTTGGATTTAATACGATTTTGGACAAACAATTCTTGGTATCTTGAGATCATTTATCTCGACAAGAAGAAAATCGCATCAAATGATCATAATAAGCAACATCTACCTAGTGTTAATTTTGCTGATTTTTTCCTTTAACATTTATAACCAGGGTAGAAATTGAAGAGAGAGAGCATATTAACTCAATTTCAGGGGGAATAGAGATGACGAATTTAATCTTAAATCAATTTCAAACAGATGTCACAAGCATAGTACTTTAATTTATTTATAATTTTTATATGGTGGATATATATGAAAGAAATTGAATGACTGAAATATAATTAGTGTATAATAAGAAGAAGCATAGGAGATAGTGTTCTTAGTAATGAGAGGTTTATAAAAAATAATACAGGCTACTAGGTTATTAAAATACGTGGTGCATTAATATTTTTGTTAATAGGATTTTGATTTTAACGAATGATACTTATGATTATTGAAAGCAGAATATTTTTTAATTGTAAAATTCTTTACGAACACTACATCTCCTGCAATTTTAGTTTAAAAAAATATAAAATCTCTTGGAGAAAGTTGCAAAGAATAGGAATATTTTTTCCAGAATAGTTTTTATTTTAGAGACCGTGGTTACCGTTCATTGAAATAAAAAAAATTATAGCGCCTACGTGTGTACCAGATCAGACCAGTCTGTGAGAGGGATTCCATTTTGAAAGCTCAATAACAGACGGAAAGACAAACAGATGATCGGACGACATACATTTTAGCAAATATTGACTAATAACTTTAAATTGATCATTCGTTGATGTCTCCTTATTTCTAAGATTCTTCTGATAGAAATTAAAGAGTCTTCTGTCTGAAGGTAAACAGTTAAAGAAAGAATGGTGGCCCACGTGGCGTAGTGGTTAGAGCGTTTGCTCTAGGACCCCAGAGTAAGAAGTTGGTCTTAACGTCGCGGGTTTTAATCTCACTGCAGGATGTGGGGAGCGGTCCGTCGGATGAGACCCGTAAACCGCAGTCAGGCTCCGGGACCATAAAACTTAGATGAACTCACTTTTGATCTCGGTCTCACTTTTATAAAAGGAATGTATAGTGAAAAAGTGAGACTAAGTTCGTCTAAGATTAATGGCCCCGGAGCCAGGTGTCGCAGTAGCTAATGGCACGGAGAAGATCTCTTACCGTTTAAAGACCCTTAGTGCCGAGTACATGTCTAAATTTGCCGACTTCCACCGGCAAGTGTTGGCGTTTCGATATTAGTAAAAAAAAATCTGGAAAGGACATTTAACAAACAACCAAAATAATAATAATAACTAGATGCGATCTCGTTGCGAGCAACGAGTGGGTCTTCCGTCCGATTTTTGATAAGATGAGATACGAATTTGACTGAGATTTTCGTTCATAAATATATAAATAGTGAGAACGTACAATTTGCTTCAGTTATGTTTAACAAAATTTTGATCATTATGACACCTAAAACGCAATGTTTGATGAAAATTTTAAAATATTTATAGTAGCAGATCGTGAAGATGAACATTACTGTAAAAGGGTTATAGATAAAAGATTTTGGCCCCTCTGAGCCCCTTATTCGAGGGGTCAGCCCCTTTTTCTTGATATCACATGAAAGGTCTTGTAATTCTGAAGACTTTTTGTTCAACAAGTATTCAGAAGATTCGTTTCGTTTTTGAGATATATGGATTTGAAATATTTAGGGGCCGTCCCTTAAAGTCCTTATAGGGGCTGTTTAGGAAAAATTCAAAGGATGCAGATTGCTGAGACCATCATTCTAAACAACTTTTGTTCAATATTGCTTTTCAAAATATTCCCTTCTTTCGAGATATAAAGCGTCAAAGATTAAGTATTCTGGCCCCTTGTGGCCCCTAATTACGTAATATTTGATGAAAATTTTAAGATATATAGTTGCAGATTGTGAAGATGAACATTTTTGCTTCAATAATTGATATCAAAATATTTAACGTTAAGGAGTTATAGATGAAAGACTTTTGGCCCCTCTGAGCCCCTAATTTGAGGGGTCAGCCCCCTTTTCTTGATATCACATGAAAGGTCTTATAATTCTGAAGACTTTTTGTTCAACAAGTATACAGAAGTTTCTTTTCGTTTTCGAGATATGTGGACTTGAAATATTAAGGGGCCGTCCCTTTAAGTCCTTATAGGGGCTGTTTAGGAAAAAATCAAAGGATGCACATTGTTGAAAACATCATTCTAAACAACTTTTGTTCAATATTGCTTTTCAAAATATTTCCCCTTTTCGAGATATAAAGCGTCAAAGATTAAGCATTCTGGCCCCTTATGGCCCCTAATTACATAATATTTGATGAAAATTTTCAGATATATAGTTGCAGATTGTGAAGATAAAAATTTTTGCTTCAATAATTAATATGAAAATATTTAACGTTAAGGAGTTATAGATGAAAGACTTTTGGCCCCTCTGAGCCCCTAATTTGAGGGGTCAGCCCCTTTTTCTTGATATCACATGAAAGGTCTTGTAATTCTAAAGACTTTTTGTTCAACAAGTATTCAGAAGTTTCGTTTCGTTTTCGAGATATGTGGACTTGAAATATTTAGGGGCCGTCCCTTTAAGTCCTTATAGGGACTGTTTAGGAAAAATTAAAAGGATGCACATTGTTGAGACCATCATTCTAAACAAGTTTTGTTCAATATTGCTTTTCAAAATGTTTTTCCTTTTCGAGATATAAAGCGTCAAAGATTTAGCATTCTGGCCCCTTGTGGCCCCTAATTATGTGCCATACGACGTAAAAATTATAATATATAGTTGTAAATTGTTAAGATGAATAATATTGCTTCAGTAATGTATACCAAAATATTGCTTGTTAAAGAGTTATTGATTTAATACTTTTGGCCCCTCTCGGCCCCTATCGTGACAAGTCAGCCCTTTTTTCTTGATATCATATTAAAGATCTTGTCATTCTGCACAAATATTGTTCAGTATGTTTTTACAAAATAATTATACTTTAAAAGATATGATACAAAATGTCTCAAAAATTCACTCATGAGTCGTGTTCTAAATTTCGACCCCTACCGAGCTTCCATACTAGGCACTTCCGGAAAATATCTAAACCCAGGTGCAAAATGGCAACATGTCCTCTATCATCACTGAAAATTTCAGCGCTCTAGCTTAAGCCGTTATTGAGTTCCATCGCAGACAAGGAGGTCCTCTGAATTTTAATAAAAGGGCGATAACTCTCGACCGGAAGTAAATATCCCTTAACAGACTTGCCGGAATTAACTTCAGATGTCAATGCATCTACCTTGAAAATTTGAATAAAATCGAACGAGCCATCTCCGAGAAATCCTCTGCACAAATTTTGTAAGGAGAAAAAAGAATAATAATAATAATAATAATAATAATAATAAAGGTAAAAAAGAAACCTAAGAATAATAGAAGGGTCTTCCGCTGAAGACGGAAGACCCTAATAAACAAAGGTTGCATTGTAGTTAATACATTTACTTGACCACAATATCTTGAAGGGGAAAGAAATTCTGAATGCTTTCTCATCCTTTTGAGAAATAGATATCTCTTCTCAATTTAACAAAAAAAAAAAAAAAAAAAAAAAAAAAAAAAAAAAAAAAAAAGGAAAAGAAAACCATAGCAAAGATGGGAAGCAAAACAAAAACACTAAAAAAACATTATTTTGCATGGTTTGCGCAATGCATTAAGAACTTTTTGTCGTACATCTAAATCCTGTTTATTGCTTCCTTGCTTAATCATCAACACACGTGTAAAAAAGGAAAACACTTTTATTTCTATGGTGCTCTTTTAACCATCATTCGAACAGAACGAACATGAGTTCCATCCATAAATATTGGCTTCCAAGGAAACGCCCAGGTTAAACTTCCGTAGGGACCCGTGAGGAGGGCTAAATGACACCTGTTGAACCACCATCCACCTCCTCCTCCCATGTCGTTGGAACAGGATTGCCATGATTTGTCCTGATCCTTGTCCATGGTTGAAAACTTCATTCCATTCAAATTTAAACTAGGTATAATGGGTGTCATTGCGTCACCTTAAACATAGATCAATTATTATCCATCAAACACAAGTATATTAAAAGGTTAAGAAATGCAGATTTTTAATCTTTTAATTAGAAAAAATGTCGCCGTACTTAAGGTAGTACAAAATAGATAGGCCAAATTTTTCCTCAAATTCAATTTTGTTCAAACTGATGCAAAATCTCTCTTTATACATAATGAAAGAATTTTGACCATATATTTTTTGCCCACATAGTTTTGAATAGACCACTGTAATAAGCGTGTGAAATTAGAACGCCAACCTGAGATTTTGTATTATTTAAAAGTAACCAATTGATCTATTGCAAACTTGTGTAATGCTATTTATAAAGGCAACCTTTATTTACAAAAATTTAGTAAAATATTTTGATACCGGTATATTTGACTAAAATCTGATGTAAAAATAGAACACAAACCTAGCCCGGGAATTGAAAATTCACATGTAAATAATCCACACATTAAGTCCTCTTTAAAGAAATTGTATAATTTATTTTTTACAAAAAATCAACAGAATAATTGAAATGCAACCTAAATTTGACTATGTCAAATAAGGAAATTGGAACTGGCAGTTTCAGATATTTTGGCAATTCTAAATAAATAAAATGACCTTAACCAAAAAGATTGGAGACTCCATTCAAATATGTCCAAATATCAGGTCTCTACTACAAACGGATAAAAAGTTACTTTGCATTTCATAACAGACAGTCATATGGCATTTAGATGGCATTAACAAGATCCAAATTGTAGGCTCCCGAATGATCAATATATAGGATGTCTCTAATTTTTGTTCAAAATATGGTGAAAACGTCACGGCTTATTATTTTTCCTACAAAGATCCTTGATTATTGACATTATAGTAAAATTGTTCATTTTTGTGGTGTACTTTATAACCTCTGCGTTAAAACGGATTTCATGGCTATTGTGTACCACCTTAAAAATAAGAATATGTTTTCAAGTACAAATTGTCTGTTGATTAAATGGGGTTAAAATTATTACAATATAAGATTAAAAACATAAAGTATCGAAGCAAAAGAATATGAATTTTCAATTTAAAAAAAAAAGGGGAGAAAAAAAAAAATGTACTTAATGTGGAAAAATTATATATCTCTTCTAATTGTAAAATTATTAGTATATATAGAATAAGTCAACAACAGATTACATAAAAGCAAATCTTTTTAGGAACTAAACTGATACACTACCAAGTGTACCATAGGCACCTCCAATACGGAGAGCATATCCATTTTCTTCGTCAGAAATTGAAAATACGTCATATTGTTCGAAGAACTTTAAACCAAGGACATGTGTAGCAGTTATATACAGCAAAGAGTTTCTCTTTCTCGTTAAGTGATGGATGATTTCATTTCCTGAAAGAAATAACTGGGAATGCATATATTAAAACATACGAAATGCTATTTAATTGGGAATATGCAATAGATTCATGTACACTATTCGACTAATGGAAACCTTTAAAATAATTTTTTTCTTACCAATCCAGTATTCAGAGGCGATATTCCCAAAACCAGATTTATATTCAATCCAGTTTCGAGCAAAACTTACGGAGCCATCTTTTCGATTCATCAATGTCTAAAAAAAAAAGAAAAAGAAACAACGACCTAGACGCTATTGATTAAATCTTAAACTGACTTAGCATATTCACATCTAATTTCATTTGAAAACACATACATTCAGTATGAATTTTCTTTTTGATTGAACACAAAACAAGTAAATCAAATTCAGATTTTTCATGCCTCCGTAATCAAAGATTCGGGTACATACAGTTTTTACCCTGTCCGTCTGTCTGTCTGTCTGTCTATCTGCCTGTCTGTCTGTGTTTGTCTTTTTGTTCGCAAATTTTAACCTTGCCCATAGTTTTTTATTGGTTGGAGCTATGGCTTTCATATTTCAAATGTGTATTCCTTGTGACAAGACCTTTCTAGTTGTACCATCATATCTGACCTTTTGCCTTGACCTTGGAATTTGACCCAGTTTTGCAAAATTTTACCCAACTTTAACATTTGTCTTAACTTTTGAACAATTGGTGTTAGGGCTTTCATACTTTACAAATGTAATCCTTGTGACAAGACCTCCTTTGGATACCAAGAAATCTGACCATTTGAACTTGACCTTGGAGTTTGACCTTCTTTTGGAAAATTTTAACCTTGGTCATTTCTTTTGAACAGTTGGTGCTTGGGCTTTCGCACTTAACATATATAATCCTTGTGACAAGACCTTACCTCGAATACTAACAACTATGACCTTTTGACAATGACCTTGGAGTTTTACCTACTTTTGATAAACCTTAAACATTGGCCATAACTTTTGAATGGTTGGTGCTAGGGCGTTCATAATTCACATGTATATTTCTTGTGAGAAGGCCTTTTCTTGGGCACCATTAATTTTGACCATTTGACCATGACCTTGATGTTTGATTCACTTTTGAAAAACGTTAATCTTTTCCATATCTTTTCAATGGTTGCTGGTATGGCTTTCATATATCACAGGTATATTCTTCGAGACAATACCTTACTTTGGGTACCAACATATTTGATTTGATTTTGAGAAAGTTTAACTTTGCTTTAAGTTGTCATATAGGGGCATCAGCATTTCACAAACACATCTTGTTTAGCTTTGTTAATTAAATTCCGTTTGATGTTAAGGCAAATCCAATTTTGCAGATTAAAGGTATATATTTCTTAATATGTATATGGATATACTCTGTAATTTAAAAATTAGCTTTTGCTTAAATGATTTTTTTCATTTTGTTCAAGTTTTTTTCCCCTCCAAGTTTAAGCAGACAATTAAAGAGAACGTATTACCCCTCGAAAGAGTAAAATACTATGCATGTTTACATGACTTAAAAAAAGATTCTTGAATTTCTGATTGACAATATCTATGTAGTTTTCAACAATCTGTTGGAATTCCAATGGGCACCAATTGCGCCCCCTTATTAGCAGACTTATTTTTGTATTCATACTAGGCAGAGTTTTGTTTATTCAAAAACTTCTTCACGAGAAGAAGAAAACACATACTGTGGCCTTTACCTCGACATTTCGATATATCGACGACGTATTATCAATTAACAATAGTTACTTTCATTCATATGTCGACTCGATATATCCAAGCGAGCTTGAAATAAAAGATACCTAAGAATCTGACACATCTGTTTCATATTTAGATATTTTACTAGAAAAAGACGTTAATGGAAACCTAACAAAGCTCTATGATAAACGTGATGACTTCAACTTTTCAACCACCAACTTCCCTTATCACCTGCATATGGGGCTTATGTCTCTCAGTTGATTCGATCGATACGCAAGAACATGGTCTACGTATGAACAATTTCTAAAACGAGGCAAGCTATTGACAAACAAGTTGATGAAACAAGGATATCAATAGGCTCGTTCGATGTCATATTTTCTCAAGTTTAACAGTCGAAATAATGACCTTGATAGCATATACACCTATCACTGAGTCAAATGCTGACTGACGTTTTTCTTACTTATTGTTAGGGCATTATCTATACACTGAACTGTCTACGGATTTTTCCGTTTTTTTTTTATTTTCCCGATCATGAGAAGGAGCACATGGCGAGTGTGACCGTTCGGCAGGGGATGCTTACTCCTCAATGGCACCTGATTCCACCTCTAAATTTTGAGGTCCGTGTTTGCTCTGCTCCAAATTTGTATCGTTTCATTGTACTTTCGAGATTGAATACTGTTCGTTATCTTCATATTTCATTTCATAACACTTTCACAGGTACATGTATACATGATAAATTTCATCTTTTGATACAAGTTAATGTTCAGTTAGACATACTCCACTTAATGATATTTACACACAACAGCTATTCTTTTCTACATCGTGAATGTTTTAGAGTTAATGGGTATTTTAGACCTCTCCACAATAGTAGTATTACATGTAGTATAGTAATAGTAAATTTGCATTTCAGTTCATGTTTCGTACTTAGTTTCTATGGGTTTGATTAGTAGGTTTATTATGGTCAAGTCTATAATTTAACAATTTACAAATTTATAGGCCAGTTTATCAATATCAAATTTTAATTTCTTTTATCAAAATAATTATTGTTCATGAAATTAAAGTTTATTATATATAAATCCAGGAACTGTATTTGGTGCATCATTAATGTCAGTACTGGTTTAATAAACGTTTCTTATATTTTACTGTTTTACTAACAAGTTTAATTAAATGACTAAAACTGTGATGATAAAAATATATATTGCAAATGTAAAATGTTCAAATTGGAAATCCGTTTTAAGGGAATAGGTTTACCTTACATTGATCGATCTGTGTTCGAACTAAGTGATTATGTCTGAATGTCTTTGAATGATTAGCTATAAAACAATAATCAAATGTGTTTGGAGTAAAACTTTTTAATGTCATCATCACGAAATATCTAGTATATATTATTTACACATGTCAATATCACATTTCATTGAAAATTATTGCAATAAACAAGCGAGAATTCGATGTTATATATAAACAAGCTAATTCAGAGAATTCGTGTCCTCCCGCTCAGGGAAAAAAGAAGAGCATGCGCAGTTCGGGGGGGGGGGGGTCACATTACCCCCTGTATTTGTAGAATTATTAAATGTATACATGTTTATTGAAGCAAATTAAAAAAAAATGCCAATATGGATATAAATATTTGATCGCTTTTTCTTTAATATGTGTACATAAGATTCTTTTTTATATACAGAATATTTGTCACCCTGTAATAATGATTTTATGAGTTTGTACACGCCAAACATCATATCTTTTTCATATCACATGTTGAATAGTATCATTTAGTAAATCAAAAAAAGAATAATAATAATGATAAATTAAAAAAAAGAGAATCGTCCGGAGATTGAATCCGGGCCTCTAGCTTGCTAAGTGAGCAAAATATCACTAGGCCACGGAGGCACTTTACATCAATTAAATGCAAACATTAAGTCACATATAATGTTTATATTCACGTTTGATATTGTCAAAATTTTACACAATAAATAGTGTCTAATTTAGCCTTTACTAAACAGTTCTATTAGATGTAAAGAGAATATAAAGTCCGCCGACAACCTGTGTTATGCGTAATAACTCTCCACATGCCCCTGTGCTAAAAAGAGTGGCAAGCGACTTTTGATACAATAAATAAATAAATAAAAAAACGGGACGGGACACTTTGAGAGGGGCAAGGAAGGCCATAGGGAGTTATGGTATAAAATTTCATTACAAAAGCTCAAAAGCTTCTTAAGATATCGCCCGGAAACGAAAGTGTTACTCACAGACTGAATTTATGAATTTACGACCTTGAACTTTGACCTTTTGACCTCAAAATCAATAGGGGTCTTCCTTAGGCCACATGGAGCTGTTAAGTAAAATTTTATTGCAAAAGCTCAAAGAATTCGCGAGATATCACGCGAAAAGGAAAGTGTTAAAACAGACAGAATTTATGAATTTATGACCTTGACCTTTGACCTTTTGACCTCAAAATAAATAGGGTTCTTTGTTAGGCCATAGGGAGATGCTTTGCAAAATTTCATTGCAAAAGCTCAAAGGGTTGTCGAGATGTCATGCGGGAACGAAAGTGTTACAGACAGACAGAAATAGAGATGGACGGACAGACGGACGGACGGACAGACAGACCCGAATTAATATCCCCCATTTTCAGCGAAAGCGGGGGACAATAAAATCTTTTGAGACGACAAATGTTTTTTTTTTTCTTTTAATTATTTGGTCCATAGTTTGTCATAATACAATATTACTGTGCATTGTATGTTTGTGGTAGCGACAAAAAAAGCAAATCAAAACAAATATGGATGTAAAGAAAAGAAAAAATAAAGAAAATAAATAAATGCATGTAAATATTTACCGTCCAGCCTCCCCCCTCTGTTTCCATATCACACACGACATCAGTGGGTTGATCTGTTAATGGCTGTATTGTATATATCCCTGACACCCTGATACCACTATCAAACAGTTCTTTACAGTCAAACGCTGAAGATAAAAACTAATACTGTAAAATAAACTACAACATATAATTTCTTAAAATCACATAAGAAATCCAAATTTATGAAATTTACTACCTTTTTTTACGAGATACTTCCATCCATCTCCTGGATCTCTCATGATGTTGAGGGGGCATCTTTCATGAATGCGGCATTTCTTTAATCTATCATTGTAACCGAAACAAGTACATTGTTCATTGCATCCGCCAGCACAGGTTAACCGTGAATTTCCAGAAAATATTCCCATTAAAGAACTGTCATCAGGTTTGTCGTCAAGTTTGGAATAATCTAAATAAGACTGTGAAATGGACTTTGAGGAAACTATTAGTTTCGGCAAAAGTACAAAGATAATCGTTAATGTCACCAGAACGAAAAACACATCCATAGTTGGGAATAAAGAAGGAGAAATCGGTGATAATTTTAACACATATTTGTCCTTTTGTATCTCAATCTGCATATGGTTATACCTTTGTCTGTTTGATCGGCATGAAACAATCAGCCCGCATTTCATTCCCTAAGTGATTGCTTTCTAATTATGAATTGATGGATCTCTCAGTCTGTAGGTAGTTCATG